AAACGGTTCCCCAGCAACGAGAAAAAACAACTGGAATCACCCCGTCAACAGCTCTGGGAGAACCAAGAGGTGAGGCGGTTTACCCCACTTCCTCTCCCAAACCGAGACCTCACCTTTCCCCTTCGCCTCTCGTATTCTGTCAGGATCCCCGATACATTCCGGGAACACTGGGGCAGACTGGGAGCTCAGGCAGCCGATTCTGAAGTCCCAGATCCTCGACGTCCTGCCCCCTCCAACCGCCCCCTTCGCTCCCCAGATCGTTTCAGGTTCTAACCATACCTTTTCACAACCCTAAGGATAACATGCCTCATCTCGTGTTCCCTCGAAAAAAACAAACAAACAAAAACAAAAACTCCTCAGATTTGGCCTCATGAAACCGTCTAGTTCACCCATCAAGAACCCTACGTACTCTCACGAAAAGGCCAGGGCCTTGAGTGTTATTTGCATACTCCATAGTCCAACCCGCTGCTCGGCCTAGTATTAATCTAGCCCTATAATCTAACCCTAATATTTCAAGGCAGGAAGACAAGACCTGCTCAGGACAAAACCAGAAAATATAAGAATCCCCAAACTTTGGAAGCAGAGATTACAAAATCTTGACTGGCCCTACCCTTACCCTACCGACCCTTTTGCCCCTTCCAAAGTATATAGGCGTTTTGAAGCGTTGCACATAGGTCATGCTTCGGAAGCGGAAGCTAAGGAAAAGATTGAGTGTCAAACTTCTGCATTCAACAAATAAATTTCTAGAATCAGGACTAGCTCTTACTTTTTAAAATTTTAGACCCTATACAGGGTCTTCTCAGCAATTTATGATCAATTTTTAACAATCATTCTAAAATCCCGTGGGATAACAAAACTTAAATTCACTTTTTAAATACAGACATAGGGACAGAAAGAAAAAATGCTTAGTGTAATAGTGAAAAACCTGTGATTTTTTGTAATTAAAAAATGATTTGGCCTATTAAATGGGTCTGTATTTGTAATATTCTAATTAATAATGGAGAATTCAAAACTCTTAAAGGGATGGACTTGGATTGTGATGGCGAAAATAATATTGAAGTCAAATATATTTGGGACTCAGAAATAATTTGTTGCCATAGCTGTGATTAAGTAAAATCAGACAAATTTAAAGACAGTACTCTTTAATGAATCTCTAGGTTCAATAGACATTTCCTTCCAAGATGTCGATTCCATTCTCCAACACCCAGTACCGAATTCCACAAGGATTTGGAAATCTTCTTGAAGGGCTGACATGTGAGATTCTGAGGGAGCAACCGGACAATATACCAGCTTTTGCAGCAGCATATTTTAAAAATCTTCTAGAGAAAAGAGAGGGTAAGCTTTTTAAAAATAGGCATTTTTTTTTTTTTCTAAATAAGAGACTAAGAAGTTGGTTATGGTGAAACTTGCATAGGATCATCCTAATTCCACAGAAAGCCTTTATGAGGCAAGTAGCTTCAAATAACAGTTCTTGCTATTTGAAACATGTGCCTTTTTAACAGTTCTCTAAAATCACATTAATTCACATTATTGAAGATTATCAGTTTTGTACCCAGACCTTCTTTGCTGTTTCTCATGGACACACTGGTGGAAGGGGACCTCAAGAAATTGTCCAGTCTAGCTTTCCATTTTCTAGCTGTTCCTATGCATCCCAGGCAGTTGAGTGTCTATGCTTACTGGATGGAGAGTTTGTGATTTTCTTTACATTTTGACTTTTCTTACTTGAAAGTATTATAAAAAATAATTCTTTACTTTTTAGATTAAGTAAATTGGTATTTTCTGGAGGATATTAAACTGTTCTACAATAAAGGCACAGAGAAAAACTGCTTTAAAAAGTAAATTTCCGGCTTGGGAAGATAATTTATATTTTTCCTCTGTACTCCCAAGGTCTCATTCTGCCCAGAGACTAAGATTCAGGCTAATGGTAACTCTTTGGTTGAGAACCATAGAAGAGTTTTTTCACTTCCATAAATAAAATTTCCAGACTCCCAGCCTTGAAGGTTCATGACTATCAAGACCTGACTCAGTGGTCAAAATAGGAAATATCAGAGCTATAAGTTTTTATTAAAAACCTATTCTTCATTAGAACAACTATTTTTATTAAAAACCTATTCCTCATTAGAACAACCATTTTGTATAGGCTTTTATCATTACTTCCAACAGAGTGGTAAAGGTGACTAGAAATAGCCACAAGCAAATAAACATTCCATTTTAAATCACTTTATAAAGGGTGGAAAACTACCACAAGGCTTGAATTGAAACAACTCCCATACATACTACACAGCTCTATCCCCTTGTCGTCTTTGCTCTACCATGGCAGAGCTCAAAGTCTCTGCCAGTTTCCTGAATCTTGTTGGTCTTTTCCATATCCAGTCACTGTGAATATTTGTTGCACAATCTGAAACTTAAGTGCCACTGAAAAAGGTAAGAGGTGAATTGTAATGAACACTAATTTAATTTTGTTATTATAACTTCAATTTTACAAATTTATAAGTAATTTTAGACCTCAGAAACATCCCATTACAAAACCATTTGAGTCATCATTACTGGATCATGACAATTAAAACAATTAGTGATTGAGAGTAATGGTCTCAGAATACTAGTTCTCTAACTACAAAAAAAAAAATGGGTGAAACTATTTGAAACAATGTTAAGCACCACACCCATTTAACTCATGTAAACCAAAGGTGAATTATCCAACTGATACAAGTATTAGAATTAAGTCTCTTCAAAAGGGAAGAATAAAGTCCTCTAGGCCAGTCTCACACAATGCAAGAATTTCCTTACAGTGATTACTAGTCTTAATTTTTACTTATGTGACAGGAAACATGTTAGTATATGAAATAAAATCGCTAGGGAAAAGATGGGCTTTTTATTAAATGGTGTCGTGATAAAGATGGAAAGAGAAAATTGGATCTATTCTTCACATCATACACCAGGATAAGTTCCAAATTGATTGGAGATTTAAAGATTTTTTTAAATGAAACCATACAAATACTAGAAGAAAACATGGATAAATTTATCACATAAAAGTGGAAAAAATTTTCCTAGCTAAGTAGCTATAATTACTTTAAAAATTCAAGAGCGATTAGAGAAAAGATGAATAAAATTGACAGTATTACATGACGAAAATTCTCATAATGAAAATAAAACTACAAATGACAAACGGGAAAACTGTTTGCAATTTATATCACAACCAGTTAGTAAACCTAATAAATAAAGAGCTTATAAAAACAGTGAAGAAAAAACCAACAACCCTGTAAAAACACTGGGCAAATGATATGAGCAAACAATTCACACAAAAATAAATGCAATGGCCCTTAACATATTAAAACATACTCAGACTAACCCATGATAATAGAAGCCTATATCAAAACTGTACTGAAGTACCACCACCCACCACCAGCAACCCCACTCATCAGATTGGCAAAAGCCAAAAGTTTGCCAATTTATTCTAGGCAGGGCTAAGGGGAAATAGGCACTCATACACATTGCTGGAGGAGAAACAAAATGATACAACCGCAAGTAGGGGGAAATGGCAATATTTATCAAAATTATGTACACATTTAACCTTTGATACAGAAATTCACTTTCTCACTTTTTTCATTGCATTGTTATTTGAGAAAGCAACCAACTATCCATAATAGGGAATTTATTGAATAAACTAGAATACATCCACACAATGGAATGATACACAGCATTAAAATAAAAACAATAAAGAAGATCTCTGTATGATGCTGTGGCATGACCTTCAAGATATATTAAGTGAAAAAAGTTAAAGTAGGTGGAAAAAAATGTGTTTAGTATGCTACTAATTATCTAACAAGGGGTATTGATATGAATACAGAAGTGTTCATTTATATTTTTTTTAACGGAAGAATAAATCTTTAAAAATAACATTTACCTCTGGGGGAGAAAGAACAGAGTGGAGGAAACAAGAAGCTAAATTTCTCTGAATACATCTCGAACTTGAAATTATAAATGTTTAAAATAGTTATGAGATAGAATTAAATTTAAAAATTGTTAAATAATTCCTAAAATTTACAGGATGAGCTTGAACACCTTGCCATACCAGAAAGTAAGGAAACTGTCAAATATTACTAGAGCTGTTTCCAAAAGACTCAAGGATATCTGAGCCCCTGAATAAGTCCCTACTGGCCAGTTTTGGACAACGAGAGCATCAATAAGGATAATAAATGCAATAGATTGAAATTCATTCAACTCATTTAACATTCCTGAGTTTGTAATAAAAAATAAATAAAAAATAAATAAAAAAGCTCCTTGAGAGGGTCCTAAGAAACCAACTGATTATTCTGAAAACTGGTAAATAAAGGGAAAGAATCAAAACTTTAACCTGCCTTTCCTGTAAGAACTGCATTTCAGGGTAGCCAAATAATTGATGAGGGAAAGTTTTTCTTTATTAGGTACTCCAGAAATAAAGAACCAATGACCAAATTAGAACATTATCATTTTGCAACCTCTAAAGAAATTATTTAAGCAGTCATCAGTAATGGGCCCATAAAAATTATAAAGACAACCAGATATTATACATCTGCTGATAGAATTATACTGCACTACCCATACTCTTGCCAAAAGAACAAAGCCAAACCTGAATCAGATTGAACTATAGATGTAACTAGCAGTCTACAGGAAATTCAAAAGCAGAGGAACTTATTAAAAATCATCATGGGAATGGTATCCAAAATATTTAGACTGTGGAAAACTCCAAAGAAAGAAAATGACCTAATTTCCTCAACAAATAAATTGCAAGGGAAAAATGCGGAGTGGGAGATAGGGAGCTTTCAATTTAAAGAGATTAAAAAGACATAATAAAAGGCTGGATGTGCCCATTGTTTGGGTCCTGACTTGGACAAACCAACAGTAAAAGAATTAAAAAATATTAGAAAATGGATGAAATTTGGATAGTTGATGATAGTAAGGAATTATTGTTAGTATTTTAGGCGATAATGGTATTGTGGCTTTATATCTTAGAGATGTATACTGAAATATATATCTATAGATAGTATAATATGATGCCTAGGATTTGCTTCAAAATAATCAGAAGAAAGGGCAGGAAAGTGAGTGAAGTTTTAGATAAGATAAATCGTGAGTTTATAATAATTGAATCTGAGTAATGTACACATGGAAATTTGTTATATTATTCTCTACTTTCAAAGTTGAAATTCTTCATATTTAAAAGCAAAAGAAAAATTATCTTTAAATGTAAATACTTCTCCCTCTCTATGTCAACTGACTATATAATATGCCTCATTTAAAAAAAAAAAAAACCTTTCCTCACCTTCATTTTTCTAAACTTCCTTACTATTTAGAATTTATTTTTATACCTTTTCTTGTGTTTGCTAATTTGTTTATAAGTTTCTATACTTATATTTAAGTATTGGCATTTGTTCTTTCCCTCTCCCCTGCCTCCCTCGCTCTCACTCTCTCACTCTCCCCCATTTTATTATAAATTTTATGAAGGCAGCAATTATAGTTTTTACTGCCTTTCTAAATATACCCAATGGCTCATCTAATGTTTAATTCATCAACATATACTTAATGTACACTGGTTACATCTTCAGTGCTAGGCTGTGTACAATATCAGTAAGATTTTCAACTGGCAGTAATGAACCTGTGATTTGAAAAAAAGAAAAAAACTTCTTTGTGTTAGTATTCTAGATTTACTTTAATGAACTCAAAATAAATCTAAAATTATATTTTTATTATTTAGAAACCAACTTTGATCCAGCAGAATGGGGGACTAAGGTTGATGACCGCTTCTATAACAACCATGCATTCAAGGTATGGTCCTGTGAAGCTATTGGATTTGGTTATTTCTTCTCTCTGTCTCCAAAACAGAAATTATTGAGATCTCCCCAGAATCATGAAAATTGTGAGAGGCATCACAAATATCTTATTAAACCTTTTTTATTATAAATTATTGGGGTGACATTGATCAACAAAATCTAATAAGTTTCAAGTATACAATTCAACAGTATGTCATATATATACAATTCAACAGTATGTCATATATATTGCATTGTGTGTTCGCCACCCATAGTTAAATTTCTTTCCATCACCACATATTTGATCCCTTTTATTCATATCTACCTCTATCCTTCCCCCTCTTCCCTCTGGTAACCACTGGTCCCCTGTTCATGAGTTTGTTTGTCATGGTTATTTGTTGCTTTTAGATTTATATACCACATATAAGTGATATGTGGTTTTCAGCTTTTTCCTATCTGACTTATTTCTTATTAAACCTTTTTAATTGTGCTGTTCTTTCTGACTTTTAAAATATCTGAATCGCATACAGATACATAGTTTAAATTTAAAAACGGTCAACAGGAAGAATTGCATGATAGTTATAGAATAATTACTCTCATTTATTCTTCAAATATTATTGAGCATTATAGTACTTGAAAGTAGCAGATAATAAATATTTGTCGAATTAATGAATTGGACAGTTTGTCCAGTTATTCCATTATCACCAACATCTTACAAAAGAGCAATTAGAATTAAAGATGGTAATGATATATAGAGTTTTCTCTAAAAAGCTTATCCGTTCAGAGGATGAACCTATCTTTTCTTTAGTAGCATTCTTAGAACCAGCCTTTCTCAACCAGGGTTCCTCAAAACAATTAAGGCCTAAGCTGAAGGCATACATTGCACATAAGGAATCAATGTCTCTCCTTTGTATCTAGAATGCTTCTAGTTATGTACCATCCTTGGGAGAGCTGAGACAATAGTCACTCGAAATAGTCTGTGTTGTGTGGTCCAGATAAGGAATACTGGTTGAGAAAGGCTGTGTGGTAATCCAGCATCTCTGGCATCAACTTGAGCTTGGTGGAAATTCAGTCACAAGCCCTGCCCCAGCCCTACAAATCAGAAGATGAATTTTAACAAGATCCTCAAAGTAAATTGTAGGTACATTAAAGTCTAAGAAAGCACCACTCTAGACAACTGTGATAAAACATTAGCCACAAAGCACTAACAAACATTTGAATTAAAAGGAATTAACACAGTTCAGGTTTTGATAATGTTCCACAGTAGATTTGGGGAATTTCCTAGGGAAATATCTGTCATTATTCCATGAGTTCAAAAGTGGAGTTTCACCCATTTGTGCCTGTCAGATATGGGGGTGTTCTGTTTGTTTCCATTTAACTAGATTCTTTGTGTTCATGTTTTATTGAAATCAAAGGAAAATGTTGAAAATTTAAAAATGTTTGTGTCATATAGCCGTTTCAGGTGTTTTCTTCTCTTGAATTTTAAAGGCTTTATGTGATTAGCTTATATGTTCTTTCTGTTTTATGGATTAAGGAAGTTCTTTCCATACGTTGTGGATTAGCAATGTGATATTTGGAGGAAGATTTCAATAACTGTGACTTAGTTTTTAATCTACAAACTTCATTAAAGTCAACTTGACTTCACACTATGCAACATAATGACATTTATTTTGTTTCTATTTTAGAAACTATTGGCACTTCTTCTCTATACTTTGTTCATGATTCATTACAGCATCTTATCAATTTTTGTATATGACAGTGGTTTGTTTTTAGTATAAAACAATGTCACATATATTCTAAAAGCAAAAGAACAAACTTTTTTAACCAGTTCCTTAGTCTTTAATATTTACTTATGCATATTCTCTTGAGAGTTTTCATTTATTTCTTTTTTTCCAACCTCCTTTCCTTGTATTTAATTCCCACTACTTCTCAATAACTTAAAGTAATATTTAATTGCCTGTAAGCAGTTTGATCTAAGACTTAACTGTTTTGGAAACATTGCCTCTTTGGTCCTCTGCCCTCTCTCTAGGAGCAAGAACCACCTGAGAAGGAAAACTCTCAGACATCTGTGAAAGAAGAGATGCCAGTCACAGCCTTAGTAAGTTATATTTTCCATGTACTATTGGATTCCTAGGAAGAATGATATCACTCAGTTTAAAATTATACTCTAAATATGAATGTAGTCTGTTATCCATATAGCTAAAATTATGATTTTGCTTTCTAGATAACTAATATCCATGATAAACTAACTGGTGGATCATTTTTAGACATGCCTCTTATAAAGGAAAGTCATTCTTCCCCTTAAAAATAAAATCTTTTTTCTTGAGATTGTCAACAGATAGAAAAATCTCCCCAAGAGGAAGAACAGGCAGAACTCAGTTTTTTTGTTTTTTTTTTTAAACAAAAATATGTGTTGTTTAATTGTTTATATATTTTATAGCAATTTTTAAATATATTTAATAATTTTTATTTTTCAGTTACACTTGACATGCAATATTGTTTCAGGTTTCCAACATAGCGATTGGACATTTATGTAACTTACAAAGCAATCACCCTGATAATCTAGTACCCATCTGACATGATATTTAGTTATTACAATATTATTGACTATATTCCTGATGCTATACTTTACAGCTCCATGACTGTTTTGTAACACTAATTTGTACTTATTAAACCCTTCTCCTTTTTCACCCACCTCCCAGCCCCCTCCCACCTGGCAACCATCAGAATGTTCTCTGTATCTATGAGTATCTGTTATATTTATTTATTTTGTTCTTCGGATTCCACATGTAAGTGAAATCATATGACATTTGTCTTTCTCTGTCTGACTTACTCCACCCAACACAATACCCTCTAGATCCATCCATGTTGTTGCAGATGACAAAATTTCATTCTTTCTAGGGCTGAGTAATATTCCGTTTTATATATGTACCACTTCTTTATCCATTCATCTATTGATGGACACTTAGGTTGCTTCCATATCTTGGCTACTGTAAATAATGCTGCAATGAAAATATGGATGCACATGTCTTTACAGATTGATGTTTTGGGTTTCTTCGAATAAATACCCAGAAATGGGATTACTGGCTTCTTCTTTGTCGCTTGCTATACCCTTTGTTTTAAAGTCTATTTTGTATCAGTGTTGCTACTCCAGCTTTTTTTAAATTTCCATTTTTATGAAATATCTTTTTCTATCTCTTTACTTTCAGTCTGTATGTATCTTTCAATCTGAAGTGAGTCTCTTGTAGGCAACATATGTAAGGGTCTTGTTTTCTTAACCATTCAGCCGCCCTATGTTTTTTGATTGGATCATTTACTCCATTTACATTCAAAGTAATTATTGATAGATATGTAGTAATTACCATTTTATTATTTGTATTTTTCAAGTTTTTTTTTCTTAAAGAAGTCTCTTTAACATTTCTTATAATACTGGTTTAGCTTTTAATTGTCTGGGAAGCTCTTTATCTGTCCTTCCATTCTAAAGAATAGCTTTACTGGGTATAGTAAAATGGTTGTAGATCCTTGCTTTTCATCACTTTGAATATTTCGTGCCAGTTCCTTCTGGGCTACATAGTTTCTGTTCAGAAATCAGTGGACAGTCTTATGGGAGCTCCCTTGTAAGTACCTAATTGCCTTTCTCCTGCTGCTTTTAAGATTCCCTCTTTGTCTTTAACCTTCACATTTTAATTATGATGTGACTTGGCGTGGGCCTCTTTGAGTTCATCTTGTTTGGGACTCTCTGCACTTCCTCAGCTTATATGTCTATTTCCTTCACCAGGTTAGGGAAGTTTTCAGTCATTATTTCTTAAAATAGGTTTTCAATTCCTTGTTCTCTCTCTTCTCCCTCTGGTACCCCTATGATGTGAATGCTTGAGGACCATTAACCTATCCTGATTTTTGGGGGGGATTCTTTTTTCTTGTTGCTGTTCCAGTTGGGTGTTTTCTGCTACTTTCTCTGATTCGATCCTCTGCTTCACTTAGTCTACTGTTGATTCCATTTAATGTAGTCTTCATTTTAGTTATTGTATTCTTCATTTCTGATTGATTCTTTTTTATGATTTCCATCTTCATTTTTATGTTTTCTATCTTTTTGTTAAAGTTCTCGCTGAGTTCATTTCCTCTTCTCCTAAGTTCATTGAGCATCCTTATAACCAGTGTTTTGAACTCTGCATCTAGTATATTGCTTGTCTCCATTTTAGTGAAGTCTTTTTCTGGAGCTTTGTTCTATTCTTTCATGTGAGACAGGCTTTTTTGTCTCCCCATTTTGGCTGTCTCCTTGTGTTTGTTTCTATATATTAGGTAGGGTTGCTATGTCTCCCAGTCTTAGTAGAGTAGCTTTGTGTAGTAGGTTTGCAGGGGGCCCAGTGGCACAGCTTTCCTTCGTCACCTTACTTCCTACCCAATAGGGTGTAACTTTTCCCTATAAGCTTTATAAATTATTTCAGAATTATATTAATACAACTCAGTCAGCCTAACGTTGGCATAAGATACAGTGGGAGGTCAGGGAAGATGGAGGAAGTGTTTTTCCTTACATCTTTAATCGATGCCCTTACATGGATTTTCATGAGTTTGAGTTAAGATCCCATTGATTTCCAACTTCAGAATAATTCATTTGCCCATATTGGCGCATCATCTCAGAGGATTTTATGCCATTTTGTTTGCATTTTAAAAGTTTAAGAGCTAGATTTACCTAATTGTTTATGATAAGGTGAGAGGGGAGGTGAACAACCTAAAGGTCTGTAAATAAATCAAAGTCCATCAATACAAGTAATACAATGGTGTCATTAAAAAAAGAATGGGCAGGTATGATCACAAGATGGCAGAGTATGTAAATGCTTTATTAGCCTCTTCCCATGACTGCCTTAAAATTACAACTGAGTTATAGAACAATCAACCTGGAGAACCATCTGAAGACTAGCTGAACAAAATTCCTATAACTAAGAATGTAAAGAAGGGGCCACATTAAGACTGGTAGGAGGAGCGAAGACATGAAATGGGCTGGCCCTGCATCTGCATGTGGCAGTTGAGCAACAGAAGGGGTACCTTGGCTGTGGAGATCTCCTTGGAGGAGTGAGGGCCTTCAGCCCCACACCAGTGCTCTCAAGTTCAGGGATTCAGTGCCAGGAAGAGAAGGCCTCACAAAATATGGCTGTAAAAATCAGTGGGGATTCTGACCATCTGGGTGAGATGTAAGAGTGCTAGAAACCCAGACATCCCCTTAAAGAGCCCACACACAGATTCCTTTGCTCACAGGCTTCAGCAGAGGGATAGCAGCTGAGGAGGTGCCAGAGACATACAGAGAAAGATTGAGTTGTTTGATTTTGGGGCTCGGGCTGCAGGGACAGCCACCATTAACCCTGTGTTGAGCCCTCTTCCTGTGCAGTGCTCAAGTGGGCATCATCTTGCCTGTGTTGAGCCTTCCCCCTACACAGCCAAATCTGAATCTGCATTGGTCTGGTGAACTTTGCTCGCTTCACCCTGGTGACTCCCTGGGACCCTACCCCACCCAACCCTTAAATTGCCAGAGGCATATTTGTAGCTGGGCAACCAGCCCCACCCCTCCCTCTTTGTTGGAGGCTCTTTCAGCAGAATCAATAGTCCCCTGTTCATGCCTATCAAAATGGCTATCATCAGCGAATTAAAAAACAAGTGTTGGTGAGGATGTGGAAAAGGGAATCTTCGTGCACTGTTGGTGGGATTGCAAATTGGTACAGCCACTATGGAAAACAGTTGGGAAGTTCTTCAAAAAATTAAAAAGAGAACTACCTTATGACCCAGCAATTGCACTATGTATAGTACCAGGTGCTACTACACTAATCAGCAGGGTCACTTCATAAATTATATAAATGTCTAACCACTAAGCAGTACACCTGAAACTAATATTAAATAATACTGAATGTCAACTTGAAAAATTTTTAAAAATTTTTAAAGAATGGGCAGTGTTATACACTAGATAATAACATAGATGAAGAGAACAAAGACATGTTATTACCTGGAAAAAGTAGTTGCAGAACATTCTGAATAGCATGATCTCATTTTTAAAATGAAAAGGCATATATGTACCCATATGAGTACTTCATCTATAGAGAAATTTTGAAAGGATATATACGTTCAACCTATAATAATGGTCACCTCTTAGGGGTAGGATTTGGGAAGGGGTAGAAAACTTTTACTACCAGTGATATTTAAGTTTTTAAATGAATATGTATCACTTATAACTTAAAAATATATATTAAAAGCTGTATGTCTATTGAATTATACACTTAAGATCTGTGCATTTCACTGTCTGTTAATTATACCTAAATTAAAAAAAACAAAACAAACAAACAAAAAAAACAAAAAAGAAGCTATATACGAAAGTCAAACCAAGCATGTTAAAACTGACACTATTGGACCAAATGAACTTCTCTCTGGCACTTTCTGACTTTAAAAGTACGTTTTTGGTTAACTATGCTTCAAGGATTCTTACTTATCCCCCTCCCCACCCCTCCAAAAATGTTACTGCTTGGAAACTGTTAAATAGGAGATATTCTGGGGAGAAAAAGTTGGCAATGATGATTTATTGCAGAGACATATTAAAGAATAACAAAACAAAATACCTGCTATTTTGGCATTTACCATTTGGTACATATACAACATGAGAATATATAAAATTCCCTTGGGAAGCAACAGATCTCAATTGTTACATGCCTAAATCGATTAAATTTGTGCACTATTTGTATGGCATCAAAATACTGTATGGGATGTTTACAGTCTCTTTTTCTCCTTTCCATGAAGGAATCTTCTGAAGAAGATAAAGAAAAAGAGGAGAAAGCTGCCGTAAAAATCCAAGCAGTCTTCCGGGGATACTTAGCCAGAGAAGAGTTGAAGAAAATGAAAAAAGGTAATCTTCAAGAAGAGACAACACAGGAAAACAACTGAGGAGACTGATTTTGCCCCCCAGAAACATGAAAAAATAATCCAAATCCATCAACCTTGTTGTGATTGTCGTTTTTTTTTTCTTAGTAAGGGAGATTTGATGTAGTGAAATAACATTTGTTGCTGTTGTGAAAATCTGTCATGAGCATTTGTTTAATAAACATGCCATTGAACACATGCCTCTTGAAGATTTCTCTGAGATCATAAGTCTTATTTATACTTTTCCCAAGTCCATGTATAGAGACCCATGGACTTAGAATTATAGAACTGGAGTATCTTGAGTTTTCAGAGATCTCAGAGGTTATGTGGTCTAATCATTTCCCAAGGAATAAATCCTTTCTATCATGTCCCTGAAAAATAGTCTTTTAGCTCCAGTCTCCCTCCTAGTGATAGAGAATTTAACTGCCTTTCAAGGGTAGTTCATTTAATTTTTGAATAACTCCAATTATTAGCAAGATAAGCTGGGTCAAAAATCTGCCTCCCTGTAAATTTTCATTTATCATGCCTGCATTCAATCACTTATTTAAAAATGTATTGAGCATAATTCATGTGCTGGGATTTAGAAATGAATATTTGTTCTTACATTCATGCAACTGACAGGTTTTTTTTTAATTATCCTGCTCTTCAGAATGACACAGAGTAAGACGAATAACATATTTGAAAAAACCGAAAGCTATCATAACATCATAAATACTCTTTTTTTAGCTAAAACTTCCCACCTTTCTTTAATGTGTAAATGGTAATATCTTCATCACAAACTCACAAACTTTTTTTAGTAAATCATCAAGCCCCAGTGCCTTATTTTTAAAAAGTTCAGTCTCTCCTTTTTAAGGCCTCCCAACTCTTGAATATTCAAGAAACTTCAAGATCCATGTCTTAGGCCAAAAGAAAATGGAAAGAAAATAGATTCTTTCCATTTAATTAATGCTGTTGCCTTCTACTATGAGATAGCATAGTCCAGCAGACTGATGTAATGTCCTGGCTGATTCAGATACCCATCTGCACTGCTGTGATGTCCCAAGCTTTGGTTCTAGCATTACACCTCTCAGTTCACAGTCACACCGCCTATTGTTCCCCAAAGCTCAATAATATGCCTAGGTGGCTTGGTCTGGAGGAGCTTCTAAAACCAGCCGTATGTTGTGTATAGCAAGTGGTCTACTGCAAGCACTTAGATCGTTGTCTTAGCTCAGACTTTTTCTTTCTGCAAAGCAGTGTTATTTCAGGTACCCCATTACCTTTCCTTGTCACTGAGTTCTTATCAGGTTCCACAAAAGAAGTTCACCCAAGTATTCTCTCAAATACAGATGATTTATGCCGATGCTTTCAAGATTGTAGCATTCTTTAATACCCACTCACCTCTGGGCATTCATCCCCCTTTTAGGATCTTTACTGGCATTAGAGAGCTGCATATTAGCTAAACAAACATTTGTAATACCCACTGAACCCCTTTCTCCCATCTTTAACTGCTCCCTCTCCCAGGCTCGGGGAAAAAAAAATCAACTCTCCTCCAGGATTCTGGCTGCTCATTCCCCTATTGCATTCAAAGCACCAGCCTCCAACCCCCTTTCTCCTCAAAAGAAGCCATCTTACTTGGGGATTATCAATGGGACCCAGAATTAATGCAAAGATTTAGCTTCCCTGTCCTGAGAAAAAGACCAGAAGAGAAAAAGATTTTTTCTCATGTGTCTAGTTTTTTCAATAATGTTATATATGTTAAGTAATTTCCAGTGTGCTTTCCAGTGTGCGCGCGCGCGCGCACTCACACGCACACACACACACACACACACACACACACACACACATCTAGTGGTGGTGTTTTTGGTAAATGAAGAAAAGGAAGAGAAGGTAGGAAAGAATAGATGTGGTATAACAACACATTGGAAAATACTTTATTAACACTGATTTTCTTTTTATCTCTCCACCTGCTCCTTCTCAGTCCCCTTTGCTGGTAACTCTTCAACTCCCCAACTACTAAACGCTAAAGTATCCCCAGGCTCAGTCCTTGGACCCTTTTTCAAGTGACCCACTTACTTGTTGATCTCATCTAGTCTCATGGCTTTAAAAGCCATCTACACACTGATTGCTCCCAGATGTATACCTGTATATATTGGACCTTCCTCCACTTCAACTCCAAACTTGCATATTCAACTGCCTACTTAACATCCCTATTTGGATGTCTGTAGGCAACTCAGATTTAGCATGTCAAATAACATGTTATTACTCCTGATCACAGCTCCTGATATTACTCCTCAAATCTTTAATTTCCCCCATTTTTTCCATTTCAGAAAATGACCATTCTATTCTTCTATTTGTTCAAGCCCCAAACCTAGAATTCAGCCTCAATTTATCTCTTGCTCTCACATGCCATTATAATCTATCAGCAAAACCTGTGGGTTCTGTCTGCATAATATACCCAGAATCTGACCACCCTGGTCCTAGTTCCCATCATCTCTCGTAAATTATTGCAATTACCTTTATATTGGTCAGTCATTGACACATTAATGCTACACAATCTATCCCAAAGTCGGTGATTTAAAACAAACTATTTTTTTCTCATGTGTCTATGGATCAGAAGTACTTTAGCTGAGCTAGGCTGGACTCCAGGCTTGAGATTAGGTTCAGGTCTGCTCTAAGCTGAGAGTGTGTGGGTTGGCTGGGGAAGGTCTGCTTCAGGCTGTGAGCCCAAGAGTAAACTAATACCTCTGTTTCATGTGTCCTATTCAGAGCCCATGCTGAAATGCTATCTAAGGCATGCTCTTATGGTGATCACAAAAGGCCAAAATGGAAGAATATTTTGCTCATTATTCTTCCACTGACATCCCATTCACCAAAGAAAGTCATTTGACCAAGCCCAAAGTCAATAAGTGAGGAAATACACTGCTCACTATGCAACCATAGTAAAGGCCACATATATATATAATATTACCACAGGGCAATGAAAAATTGTGAAGAATCAATAAGTCAGTCTACTACAGTTTGCTCTCTTGGTTATAATTATTCATAATTATAATTATTTGTATCTTTGTAAATATACAAAATACATTCATTCTTATCCCAAGATTCCCGAAAGTTCCATCAAATCCCTGAAATTTGGGATCTACATTAGATCCAGATATGGCTCTTGTTGATGTAGAGACCTATAAATTAAAAGACCAAATATTTTCTTCTCACACACCCAACATACAACAAATGATGGACAGAGACAATATAACCACACACACAAAATAGTCTCGTTCAAAAAGGGAATAATGAAAGCAAATAGCAGTCACTGGTCCATAACAATTATTAAATCCCACTGAGCAAAGTTTTCAGATTTTTCTATCTGGGAAGGTGGGATAATGTTCCATGATTAGGCATTCATTCTCCTCCCTAAGACTAACTCTCCAGTCTATTCTCCATAGCTCTTGGTTCTACAGTCTAGGAAATCATTTTTTTTCATCATCTTCCATAGTTATCTGGAAAATGAAATATGGATAAGTGAGTTTCTCAATCTGATTCCCGACTGTAGAAAATTGGGAGCCCAAAGATCTGTTTACATTTTGCACATCCTCAGTCTCATTTAGTTGTTGGTAGTGCTCTTGCTTATAGATTTCTTAAAAACTTTGTGAGTTTTGACTCCAGTCAACTCTATGTGTCAAAAGCTGCACCTACAATTTCTTTCACTATATGCCTCCCCCTCTCTCTCTAGATTTAATTCTATTAAAAGGCGTGACAAATTGGAACCAATATTTCAATTTACTAAAGCCTCATAACTGTCATAAGTAGTCTCCGTGCTTCTACCCTTTTCTCCTTTCAATATAGCAGCCAGAGTGTCCTATTATAGTTTAAATCATATCATGTCACTCCTCTGCTTAAAACCTCCAATGGCTTTTTGTCTCACTCAGAGTAAAAACTAGTCTTCATAATGGTCTACAAAGTTCTATGTGGACCTTGCCTCCTGTTACCTCTCTAACCCCTTTCTCTTATCTTTTTTATTTTTCTCCTCGGTTCTGAATACCATCTAATATATCTTGTTTTCTGCCCACTTCCTCCTACTAGAATGTATGCCTCATGCGGATAGATATTTA